GACCCCGCGGGTTCAGGCAGTCCACTCACCTCAGCCTCCCAAAGGCGAGGGATTACAGTCTGAGCCACCGAGCCCGGCTCTTTTTTTTCTTTTTGAGTTGGGGTCTCACTCTGCTGCCCAGGCTGACAACAGTGGTATAATCGCAGCTCACCACAATCTTGACCACCTGGGCTCAGGTGATCCTCCAGCCCCAGCCTCCCAAGTAGCTGGGACTACAGGTGCACAATACCATGCCCAGTTAATTTTTTGAGTTTTTGTAGAGATGGGGTCTGGCTATGTGGCCCAGGCTAGTCTCAAACTCCTAGGCTCAAGCAGTCCTTCAGCCTCTGCCTCCCCAAGTGCTGGGATTACAGGCCAGCCACTGCGCCTGGTTAAAATTTCAAATATGCCGGGTTCGGTGGCTCAGCCTGTAATCCCGTGCCTTTGGGAGGCTGAGGTGAGTGAATTGCCTGAGCCCGCGGGTTCGAGACCCGCCTGGGCAGCGAGATCTCATCTCTACAATAAATCAAAAATCAGCCAGGCGTGGTAGCGCATGCCTGTAATTCCGGCTACTCGGAAGGCTGAGGTGGAAGGATTGCCGGAGCCCAGCAGGTCGAGGCTGCGGTAGCCGGGAGCAGCCACTGCACTCCAGTCTGGGCAACAGAGTGAGACTCCAACTCAAAAAAAAAAAAAAAAAATTTTCAAATAAACAGAAATGTTACAATACTGGCACAGTGAACTCCCAAATATATCCTTCACCTAGATTAGACAACTGTAAACACTGTGCCACATTTGTTTTGTCATGCTATATTGTTTTCATACTAAGTTTTTTTTTAAACCTGACTCATTCAAGTATTAACGTCTATAAAATAGTTGTTTTTGTCTTAGTTTTCCTGACATAAAAACTATTTAAATAAAAGTAAAAATAATATGTTCCCCAATCTTTCATCTAAAATTTCTGCATCATGATCTTAATAGCAGAAGCAGCAGTTAACACTCATATAGCACTTCTTACATGCAAGGCATTGTCCTACATACTTTACATTCATGATATAATATTCATATTAATATTCATATTAATACCCTCTAAGCTAGGTATTATTATTCCCCCTTATAGATGAGTAAACTGTAGCACGCAGACAACTCATTTGGCCATGGTCATGTAGCTCCTAAGTTGGGATTTACTATCCTCTGAGCCACCTTGCTTACTTTTGGGCATCACTATTCTGGTTAATCTATTCATTTTCCTTTCTTTTTTTTTTTTTTTGAGTTGGAGTCTCACTCAGTCACCCAGACTAGAGTGCAGTGGCTGCTCCTCGCCACCGCAGCCTCGCCTGCTGGGCTCCGGCAATCCTTCCGCCTCAGCCTTCTGAGTAGCCGGAATTACAGGCATGCGCTACCACGCCCAGCTGATTTTTTGATTTATTGTAGAGATGAGGTTTCGCTGCCCAGGTGGGTCTCGAACCCGCGGGCTCAGGCAATCCACTCACAATCTATTCATTTTCATAGCAGCTGTATGTGAAGAAAAGGAATGGGGAACTGCACTTCTGCACAAAAAATGTTACAGAAAATTAGGAACTTGCCCCAGATTCAAGTGTCCCAAAAGCAACACAAATTGACTCGGTAAAAAAAAAAAAAAATTAAGCCATTAGGGGCCTTTTAAGATATCTCATTTAGGCTGAGGTGAGTGGATTGCCTGAGCCCGCAGGTTTGAGACCTGCCTGGGCAACTAGGCAAGACCTCATCTCTACAATAAATCAAAAATTAGCCGGGTGTGGTAGCGCGCGCCTGTAGTTCCAGCTACTTGGAAGGCTGAAGTGGAAGGATCGCCAGAGCCCAGCGGGTCGAGGCTGTGGTGGCCAGGAGCGGCCACTGCACTCCAGTCTGGGCGACAGAGTGAGACTCCAACTCAAAAAATTTTAAAAAAGATATCTCATTTAAAGACTCTAGTTCCTATTGCTCATATATCAATCACGTAGGTAGAAGAGGATTAAGACCAAAAAAAGTAAGCAAACTAAAGTGAAGTATCTTGAATATGGAATTCTAGCAAAATTTAAGAAAGAGGAAAGCTAGTTCCAGGATAAATATTAGGACTGATGTCCTGATTTGAGAAAGTCGGAGTTTGCTTTAAAAATGTATCTCACTTTTTCTGTAGCAAAGCTTTATAACCAAGACACACAAAAACAAAATAATTGTTTTAATTCTGGTTGAATTTTAAAACCTGAAAGTCCACATAATGTAGTTAAAAAATACTAGAGAGTAGAAACTATAAAACTCAATCTTGATAGCTTCTGTCTACTGGGCACTTTGTGTATGCCAAGTATTATACCACATACCTTAACTGTATTACCTAATATAACCTTCAGGACAAACTTAAAGGTATATACTATTATTGGTTCCATTTGAAATAGAGGTTCAAACTACATTGTCCAAAGTTACATGTGGAGTCAAAATTTGGACCTAGATCTACCAGGGGTGCCAAAAAAAGTATACATATTTTAAAAGATGTTCACTGTAATCAGAAATGTCTGGAGGTTGGGCACAATAACTCATGCCTATAATCCCAGCACTCTGGGAGGCCAAGGTGAGAGGACTGCCTGAGCCCAGGGGTTCGAAACCAGCCTGGGCAACTTGGTGAGGCCTTGTCTCTACAATATATGCAAAAATTGCCAAGCGTGGTAGCGTGTGCCTGTAGTTCTAGCTACTAGGAAGGCTGTGTGGAAGGATCACCTTAGCCCAGCAGGTCAAGGCTGTGGTGGCCATGAGCGTGCCACTGCCCTCCAGCCTGGGCAACGGACTGAGATGCCAACTCAAAAAAAAAAAAAAAAACTAGCCGGGCGCAGTGGCACATGCCTGTAGTTCCAGCTACTTGTTAGACTGAGGTAGAAGGATCACCTGAGTTCACCAGGTCAAGGCTGCGATGGCCATGAGCGTGCCACGACACTCCAGCCTGGGTGACAAAGAGAGACTCTGACTCAAAAAAATAAATGAAATGTCTGGATGCTGATGGTAACCACTTTGAGCACCTCTTATAATTGCAGAAGTCAAACGTGACTTGCATTTATGCATCTTTTGTTATTGGTATATATTATTATAATTTTAATAGTTTTTCCTTGCTTAAAATGTGTATACATGTTTTTGGCACCCTCGATATTTGTCTCCAAAGCCTATGCTCTTTTTAAGCATATCCTACTACTGCTATTGCCTCAGTTTAACTGTTAAGATTGGGTTAATCTGAAAATCCTACAAATCTCTGAAAGTTTTTTGGTTTTTACTGAGTTGAAGTCTCACTCTGTCACTCAGGCTGGAGTGCAATGGCACAATCACAACCACTATAGCCTCTACCTGCTAGGCTCAGGTGATTCTTTTGCCTCAACCTTCCAAGCAGCTGGAACTACAGGTGTACACCAACATGCCTGGCTAACTTTTTTTAATTTATTACAAAGACAAGATCTCACCATATTGCCCAGGCTAGTTTCAAACCCTTGGGCTCAGGCAGTCCTCTCCCCTCCACCTCCCAAAATGCTGGGATTATAGGCATGACCTACCACGTCAAGCCTGCTGACAGCATTTTTGAATCACCTGTCAGAAGCGGTACCTACCTCCACATCAAAGTTGGTCATGTCAGCCTTCCACTTAAAATACTCTTGAACAGCACCACCAAAATCTCTTGCAGCCTCATTTGAAGTAAAGCAATGTTTCTCTCCGGCCCTGTTGCATGTGACTCTAAACTTTAGAACTTCAGGCTCAGTTTCTTCTTTTGAGCTTTCATCGGTCTCATCTTTGCAAGATGCCAAATCATCACCTACTAATGTTGGTATTTCCTCTTTGATGGCTGGATTTTCATAATAATCTAAGATATATGAATCTAAAGCACTGTTAGTAAACTCTTTCTTAATCTCTCTCTCATCTGTTTTGTCTCCTTGTCCATTATCAATCTTCCCTTTACTTGAATTCTGCTTTATCTTTTTGCGCTTTGTTTTCTTTTTCTTAAAACTGGTATTAATTTTCCACACTTTTAAAGGGTTTGACCATGGGAGTTTTCCAGCCAAGTCTTCCAAATCCTTAAGAACTTCTTCCTATAAAGAACAGAGAATGAAATCCATCCATTTATCACCACTTTAACTGAAAAAATAAACCCCATTTTGCTTAAAGATAGTTGGGTTATCTACAGGTGATTTGTTCCAAGAACTCCAAGGACACCAAAATTCAAGGATGCTCAAATCCCTTATATAAAATAGCACAGTATTTCCATGTAATCTATACACATCCTTCTGTATACTTTAAGTCATCTCTAATTACCTATAGTATCTAATACAATATAAATACTATGGAAATAGTTGTTATAATGTATTGTTTAGGGAATAATGACAAGAACTAAAAGTCTGTACATGTTCAGTTCAGATGTAACCATCATAAGCCTAACTACATTTACAATCCCTGGTTGGCTGAAACCACAGAAGCAGAAATCACAGATACGTAGTTCCAACCATATACTTGATCACTACGTTGGGGGTGATGGAAGTACAGAATAAGAGTAAGTAAAATAATGCCTGAAATTAAAGAAATTAAAATGTCACAAATTAAGATATATCTACATTAAATCACTAAAGAATAATATGAGATAAATGGCAGGTCACAAGCAGGGATTCAAGATTAAAATTTATACAGTAAACTATTAAACTTAAAATCCCTGCAGTTAAGAAACTACACTCAACTATTCACTGTCAGTTACAGAACAAACTCCTTGTTTCTATTTTTTCTCCCCTTCTCACTATTGCACTTGACTAGTCATCTTTAAAAAAAAAAAAAACATAAGCCGGGCTCGGTGGCTCAGCCTATAATCCCAGCACTTTGGGAGGCTGACGTGAGTGGACTGCCTGAGCCCATGGGTTCGAGACCTGCCTGGGCAACTTGGCGAGACCTCATCTCTACAATAACTCAAAAAATCAGCCAGGCGTGGTAGTGCCCACCTGTAGTTCCAGCTACTAGGAAGGCTGAGGCAGAAGGATCGCCAGAGCCCAGCAGGTCGAGGCTGAGGTGGCCGGAGGCAGCCACTGCACTCCAGTCTGGGTGACAGAGTGAGACTCCAACTCAAAAAAGAAAAAAACAAAAAACAACACAAGCCGGGCTTGGTGGCTCAGCCTGTAATCCTGCGCCTTTGGGAGGCTGAGGTGAGTGAATTGCCTGAGCCCGTGGGTTCGAGACC